TGAACAAGGGGACAACATTTGCTAGTCTCCAGTCTTCTGGCACTATTCCTGAAGATAATGACGACATAAAGATCAAAGCCAAAGGCTCTGCAATCTCCTCTCTAGCTTCCCAGAGAATCCTAGGATAAATCCCATCTGGCCCAGGGGACTTATCTATTTTCACACCTTCCAGAATTGCTAACACCTCCTCCTTATGAACCTCAATCCCGTCTAGTCTAATAGACTGTATCTCAGTATTCTCCTCGACTACATTGTCTTTTTCCTGTGTGAATACTGACGAAAAATATTCATTTAGCACCTTTCCTATCTCTTCGGACTCCACGCACAACTTCCCACTACTGTCCTTGACCGGCCCCAATCTTACTCTAGTCATTCTTTTATTCCTGACATACCTATAGAATGCTTTAGGGTTTTCCTTGATACTACCTGCTAAAGACTTCTCATGTTGCCTCCTGGCTCTTCTTAGCTCTCTCTTTAGGTCCTTCCTGGCTCACTTGTAACTCTCAAGCGCCCTAACTGAGCCTTCACACCTCATCTCTACATAAGCCTCCTTCTTCCTCTTGACAAGAGATTCAACTTCTTTAGTAAACCACTGTTCCCTCGCTCGACCACTTCCTCCCTGCCTGACAGGTACATACTTCTCAAGTACACGCAGTAGCTGTTCCTTGAACAAGCTCCACATATTGTGCCCAGCCCCTGCAGTTTCCTTCTCCATCCTATGCATCCTAAATCTTGCCTCATCGCCTCATAATTGCCTTTCCCCCAGCTATAACTCTTGCCCTGCGTTATATACCGATCCCTGGAGGATACTGGAGGAACAGCACCTCATATTCTGCCTTGGAACCCTACAAGCCAATGGCCTCAATGTGGACTTTACTAGCTTTAAAATCGCCTCACCCCCCCGACCTCATCCCAAGACCAGCACCCCTGCTCATCCCCGCCTCCTTGACCTGTCTGTGTTCTCTCCCTCCTATCTGCTCCTCCCCCCCCCCCTGACCACCCCCCCCCCCCCCCTCGTACCTACACTCACTTTTACTAGCTTCATCCCCACCTCCTTAGCCTGTCCGTCTTCCCTCCTACCTATCTGCCCCTCCCTCCTCACTGACCAACCCCCATCCCAACTTCCTACCTACACTCACCTTTACTAGCTTCATCCCAGCCTCCTTGACCTGTCTGTCTTCTGTCCCATCTATCTGCTCCACTATTCACCTTCTATCACCGCCCCAACCCTCTCTATTTATTTCAGAGCCCCCTTCCCCTTCCCCATTTCTGAAGAAGGGTCCAGACCCGAAACATCAGCTTTCCTGCTTCTCTGATGCTGCCTGACCTGCTGTGTTCCTCCAGCTCCACACCTTGTTATCTTAAAAAGACTAGGATTGTTTTCACTGGAAAGACGGCGGCTGAGAGGGGACCTGATAGAGGTCTACGAAATTATAAAAGGCATTAACAGGGTGGATAGTCAGAGGCTTTTTCTCCAGTGCTGAAGTTTCAATTATAAGGGGGCACAGGTTCAAGGTGAGAGGGCAAAAGTTTAATGGAGATATACGGGAAAGTTTTTCACTCAGAGAGTGGTAGGAGACTAGAATGCACTGCCAGAGGAGGTGGTGGAAGCAGGCACTTTAAGAGGCGTCTGGATATTTACATGAATAGGGAGGGATAGAGGGATATGGACTGAATAAGGGCAGGGGTTTGTTTTTTAGTTTAGTCAGGGCATGATGATCAGCACAAGCTTGGAGGGCCGAAGGGCCTGTTCCTGTGCCTTCTGTCTCCTGTGCTTCTCTTTTGTTCTTTGTTCTCTTGATTGTTGGAGACTCGATATGCAACTGAGATGCTTGTAAGAATCCTGCATAAATCCTGATGTGTGGACCAATGTGGGATTTGCCTTCAAAGTTCCAATTTCCAATGGCAATTGCCCTGCTGCCTGCAACCCTCTGTGAATGTTTCCAACTCTGCAATAGAGTTACAGACTTTGCTGCAGTATTTGCCCTGTCAGATTAAAACTGATTCTAATATTTGCATAACTGTGATCCCTGACACCTCTCCCCGTCACTTCATATGACCCCTTAACTAAACCCCAGACACACTAGCCAACAAGGCCCCTGACTTCTTTAATTATCTCCCAGTCTGACCACCCGACCTGCAACCTTTTGACTCAACCCAACCAACCACCAAATCACCTTACTACCCCTACAACCTAACTACCTTTCCTGACCTGAACCTTACATCCCCACCACCTGTGGGACCAGAATACCCCTCCAGACTTGACTAACCCTCCCAATGGACTACCAATTCAACCCTACACAACCAAACATTCCAATCTGACCAGACCATCCTAACCCAACCACCAATACAGCCACCTACTCACTCCACCTATCCAAGTCATCCACGTATTCACATCACCCTGCTCATACCCCACCTCATTTACCTTTGTCCATCCAGTCCCTACTCATGTAAATGACCAATTCATTCACTCACTTACCCACTCCCTAAAATTGAAGCTGAAATTGCAAACTTCGCATACAGGGTAAGGCAGTCCAGAAACAGAGGTTTAAAGTGAGAGGGGAAAGATTTAAAAGGGATTTAAGGGGCAACTTTTTGATGCAGAGGGTGGTGCCAGAGGAGGTGGTGGAGGCTGGTACAAATACAACATTTAAAAGGCATCTGGATGGGTATATGAATAGTAAGGATTTAGAGGGATATGGGCCAAATGCTGGCAAATGGGACTAGATTTATTTAGGATATCTGGTCGGCATGGACGATTGGACCAAAGGGTCTGTTTCCATCGCTATGACTCTAATGACCATGATTGCCACAAGCAGTTAACTGACTGTATCCAAGTCTCAGGATTGATATCACATAATACCCTTGACTTACTGTGCCCCTTGGCAAAACTGAGGACTACCTCCCCATAAAATTTCAGCCATGGCCATTTTGTTGAAGCAAATGTTTGCTGCGTAACTGCTGGCACAGTCTGCATCTCTGAAACTGAAGTAGTACCATGTTGTCGAGCACCATGTCCATCCACTAGACTGAGCATTGCTGGCAAACATGACAAGTTGTCCGGGCTGTGTGTTTGTGATAAAAAGCGTAGCATGCCAGAAGTATTGTGATGCCCAAGTTCTGAATGAGGCTGCAATGTGTGAAAAGGCAGATGCTGAGGAATGCTGGTCAAGGTGGAGTCCCAAGGAATGAATGATGAACTGGAACCACCAGTTACTCATTCCAAGAATGTTGGAATCTAGATTGTCTCCTCTGCCTAGTAAAATAGCAGATTGCATAGAAATGAGGCAAGATCATGAAACAATTAGATGTTAAACACGCAAATAGACCTCTTCATACATATTTGTGAGATTCTCATCTTGCCGTTAAAGCCTTGGATGGAAAATTGGACTTTTTACCTTGACATCGAAAATCTTATTTTTCTGATCTCGCCCTATTTTATCAACTGATTTGGTGACTGGGCGGGATCCACCTTAAGTTTCAGTGAAATTCACATGAGTGGACTATAGCTTGCCCCCATACAGAAAATGGCACTTGCTCCCTGTAGTCTTCAATCTCTTTAAACTGAAGAATGTTCAATGATTTGCTCTCAACATTTTCTGTGGCAGCGAATTCTACAGGCTCACTACTCTTTGGGTGAAGAAATTTATCGAAAGATACTTTGTAAATCTTCTTGAAAATTCACATTTCCACAACTTCTGATAACATATTTGCATTTTTTTGCTCTAATTATAATTTCTGTGAGTAGGACTATCTTTTTTTCTGAATGATTATCAAACTTGTCCTGATAGACTTCCAAAACTTAGGTCAAGATCAAGTAGATTTATCTTATTTTAAGCGTTATTGTTGCTAAAGTAAATAAAGATTTATGTCCTCTGATTTGGGCTTCATATAGACCTCAGTTATGAAGTTAAAGGTTGGAGTTCCAACTATAGGTTAATGATTTTAACCTCCATTGTTTATAACATTAATTTTTTGAGACATGATGCAAGCAGAAAAAAAACACCACAGCATAAGAAATCTTAAATTTGTTTCTCATGATGTGGATGGCATGAGTGACACCTTGTGCTATGGTATTAATTTTATGATAATGAATTATTTTAGAAAATACTGTACAACAAATGGCTTTTTAAATCACTTCAAAGAGCATTAAAGACCAACCATCTACCTTGGACTGCAGTCACTTCTAAGCTATGCTGTATAAAAGTGACACTTCCTTTTTCTGAACATTTATTAGTAAACCAGTTGTTTTGTTTTACAACAATCCAGTTGCTTTTATTGTCTTTTCGTTTATTCGACTCAATAATTTATCATATTTACATTTCATAATCTGCAGGGGAGATGTTTAAACTCAACTTCAAAAACTGCTTGTCTGCCTAACTTCTTCTCTGTCTCTGGGTTCCATTTCCATCTATCGTTTACTCCTTCACGCATCAACACCGCACCAACTCCACACATCCCCCTCCTCACACCCCCAAAACCCCGCTCTTCTTTAGCAGAAAAAAAAACCTTTTCCTAGCTACAATCAGTTCTGAAAAGGGACCACTGCACTCAAAACGTTAATTTAGCGTTTTCTCCACAAATACTGCCAGACCTGCTGAGATTTTTCCAGCAATTTCTGTTTTAGTTTCTGATTTCCAGCATTCGCAGTTCTTTGAGATAGCAAGAACTGCAGATGCTGGAGTCAGAGACAACACAGTGTGGAGCTGGAGGAACACAGCAGGCCAGGCGGCATCAGAGGAGCAGGAAAGTTGACGTTTCGGGACCCTTCTTCAGAAAAGAAAGAAAAAGAAAAAGAAAAAATGAAGGAAAAAAAAAGGGTCCCGATCCAAAACATCAACTTTCCTGCTCCTCTGACGTTGCCTGGCCTGCTGTGTTCCTCCAGATCCACTGTATTCGTAGTTCTTTGTTTTCTTTTCAAAAATTGCTAATTTAGCACTATTAACACCGCACTAACATACCAATATATACAATGATTAAAGAGAAAAATGATGATTTACCATCCATACAGACTTCAGCAGATGTTTTAATATCTGAGGACAGCATGCAGGTGTACTTCCCTTCATCTTCAACACTACAATTGTGAATACTCAAACAGTGTTTCTTTCTGTCACAAATGATCTCGTACTTGCTGCTTGACACAATTTGCTGATCGTTCTTTAGCCATTTAACATTCATACATTCAGCTGAAAATTCACATTCCAGTTTGCCAGACTCCCCATTATGTATAGTAATATTAGAGAGTGGAATGGTGACAGTCACGGGAACCTCTGCAGAAAAGAACAAAATAAAATCTTAGTGATTATTTTATATTATGCAAAATTCTCTTGCAAATGCAATTACCATTGCAAATTCACAACACAATGAAATCTAATCTCATAATTATGTGTGACTCATAATTAAGTGTGACTCATAATTAAGTAAAATCGACAATAGTTTGAAGAAAGCATTTTTTATGTTGTTGAAGACTTCTGTGAGCTACTGAATGACAACAACTTGGACTACTTTATCCTAAAGTGATTTATAAAAGCTATTATCAAAAATCAATTAACATTGAACTACATAAAGAGATATTAGAAAAGCAGATTGAAAACATAGCAAAAGAGGTGGGCTTTTAGAAGCACCTTTTGAAGCATAATTTTAGAAGCATTTATAGGACAGCGTAGTAGAGAAATTTAGGGAAGGATTTCTAAATCTTAGGCCCGAGGCAGCCAACAGGTTTTGTTTGAGCCAAAATGCAAAAAAGGCTAAAATTGGACAGTAGGGTTTAGGAGTTTGAAGTGATTAGAAAGGAAGAAGAAAGCAGAAAAAGTTCCAGAATTGAGACATTGCCAGACTGGGACAACATAGGTCAGTGAACATAGAGGTTACTCATTACATATATAGGCCAGGAACTGGTTCTAGTGGACAATTCCTCCCACTGGCTGGTAAACTGGTGTGAACTCCATTTCACTTCTATGGGGAAGTCTGACAAGATTTTAGTATCCTCAGACACTTGCCACATTCAGGCATTCCATGTAAGCAAGGGGAAGAGGTTGCTGATGTGACCAATGATCCAAAGCCTCACCAAAGATAGCCACTGGATATGGCTGAGTGTAAGGATTGGTTAGGAGGTAAGGCAGCTTTCAGTGGAACCCCAGCCACCCTCTTCCTGTTGCTCGGTCTGTTGCTCAGGCACTGATCAATAAAGGATGCTCCACCCTACACCACCCTTACAAGATCACAGGAAAAATCAGACAGGGTTTCAGACTGGCCTCGTCGAAATGGGAAAGCTGATTTAAGTCCCTCTGAAGCCCTGAGCCACCAATGGGAGGGCTCTTGTTGCATACCTCTGAACAATGAGGCCCAGGTTTAAGCCCCACCTGCTCCAGAGGGGTATAATAACAGCTCCCAGCAAGTTGATTAGAAAATAGCTAAATTCCAATGAGGTCAGGGATAACTGATGTTAAGTGACTCCTCGGATGGTGATGGCTAGCACGAGGGGACATAGCTTTAAATTTAGGGGTGATAGATATAGGACAGATGTCAGAGGTAGGTTCTTTACTCAGAGAGTAGTAAGGGCGTGGAATGCCCTGCCTGCAAAAATAGTAGGCTCGCCCACTTTAAGGGCATTTAAATGGTCATTGGTTAAACATATGGATGATAATGGAATAGTTTAGGTTAGATGGGCTTCAGATTGGTTTCACAGGTCGGCGCGACATCGAGGGCCGAAGGACCTGTACTGCGCTGTAATGTTCTATGTTCATTAATGAATCTGATTGATGAACCTCATTGACAGCCCATCTCCAGCAAGCATAATTCCCACATTCGGCCTTCTCACCCCCAGCTTATGGGGAATTTTCCCACACTGGTTATCTGATGTGGGTATTCCTGCTTTCATGCTTGTTTCAGTTGGCTTCACTAAATTCTACCTGTACAATATTGTTAGTCAAGGGAGCATGCTTAGTGCTGGTACACTGAAAAAGACAGCTAATATGATTCCTAGCTATAAAAAGAGAGATAGATCAAATCCAATGAATTACAGACTAGTTGGTGTAATATCTAATTTATGGAAGAAATTAACATTTACAAATGTAATTTCCTATAATTTTCTTACAAACCTAAACCTACCAAATCATTGTTAACAACATTTTAAAATTCAAGATTTTTAGGTGTTAGGAAGTATCTTCTTTAATGGTGCTATGAGAAAGAAAATGTCATGAAATTAATATTGAAGTTGTCATTTTAACAGCAAATTTCCCAATTTTCATTGCTAAGAACCAAGGCCCTAAGGCAGCTCTTTTTAATTGTAAAAACCTGAAGTACATGCAACTGCATGCACTGCTTAAATGGGTCTGTATTCATAATTCTCACCCAGCAGAACCGTCTGCGGTAAATGAACGGGTTCTCCGGCGCCAGCCCTGTTCAGAGCTGAAACACGGAATCTGTAACCAGTGCCTGGTTTTAGGTTATCAACAGTGAACTCCATCTCATCAATCACTTTTGTGTTACACGGCAACCAACTGTCGCTGTCAGTAGGTTTCATTTCAACAAAGTAGCCTAGTATAGCACCACCACCATCGCTCAATGGTGTGAACCAAGACAAGGTGACAGACTGATGGTTTTTTCTAACGACCTCTGGATCTTCAGGAGGGTCAGGAAGGCCTAAACATGCAGAGTTAGAATCATTATCATCTTAATTCTAGAGATGATTATTATACAAATAAACTTCAAACATATTATTTGGTTGTATAAATAAAATTAGAAATATAACAAGCTTCTTTATGGATAAATTGCATTAATTCTCAGATGGATTAAATTCACATATGCTACTAATTTGAAGATCCATAAACAAACTGATATATTTTGTCATGCATGTAAATACCAATTCTTTCTTTACCAGAGATAGATATGATCTTGAGACTAATGAACAGTAAATAAACCAGAATTAGTTAAACATTCAGCAAATAATATTCCACATTTACAAATGGAATCAGTACCTCATGCAAAGAGTTGTATTTTTAAAATTATCTCATTAGATTATTTTCAACACATTTATCTAACTATGAAGCAAAGTTGATTCAACAATTTATCTTTCCAGTGGCAGCTGATTTACCTAAAACTTAACTTCAGGGCTGAAGTCATTGCTATGAAGCGCTTACATTTCAATTTTTAACTTAAGGGTGGTGTTATAAGGCCAAACACCTTCAGATGCTTTATCAATGTAAGAAAGTAAGGAGGCATGGGATTCAGGGAAATTTGGTTGTCTGGATACAAAACTGGCGGTCCAATAGAAGACAGCGGGTGGGAGTAGATGGAAAGTATTCAGCCTGGAGCTCAGTGACCAGTGGTGTTCCGCAGGGATCTGCTCTAGGACCTCTGCCCTTTGTGATCTTTATAAATGACTTGGATGAGGAAGTGGAAGGGTGGGTTAGTAAGTTTGCTGATGACACGAGGGTTGGTGGAGTTGTGGACAGCGTGGAGGGCTGTTGTAGGTTGCAACAGGACATTGACAGAATGCAGAGCTGGGCAAAGAAGTGGCAAATGGAATTCAACCCAGAAAAGTGTGAAGTGATCCATTTTGGAAGGTCGAATTTGAATGCAGAATACAGGGTTAATGGCAGGATTCTTGGCAGTGTGGAGGAACAGAGGGATCTTGGGATCCACATCCATAGATCCCTCAAAATTGCTACCCAAGTTGATAGGGTTGTAAAGAAGGCGTACAGTGTGTAGGCTTTCATTGGCAGGGGAATTGAGTTTAAGAGCCGCGAGGTTATGCTGCAGCTCTATAAAACTCTGGTTAGACCACACTTGGAATATTGTGTTCAGTTCTTGTCACCTCATTATAGGAAAGATGTGGAAGCTTTAGAGGGGGTGCAGAGGAGATTTACCAGGATACCGCCTGGACCGGAGGGCAGGTCTTATGAGGAAAGGTTGAGGGAGTTAGGGCTCGTTTCATTGGAACAAAGAAGGATGAGAGGTGACTTGATAGAGGTGTACAAGATGATGAGAGGCATAGATAGAGTGGATAGTCAGAGACTTTCTCCCATGGCGGAAATGACTATTACAAGGGGGCATAATTTTAAGGTGATTGGAGGAAGGCATAGGGGAGATGTCAGAATAAGGTTCTTCACACAGAGAGTGGTGGGCGTGTGGAATGCGCTGCCAGCAGTGGTAGTGGAGTCAGGTTTTTTACAGACTTTTAAGCAACTCTTGGATAGGCACACAGAAGATAGTAAAATGTAGGGTATCCAGGTTAGATTGATCTTAGTAGGATAATAGGTCGGAACAACATCGTGGGCCGAAGGGCCTGTACTGTGCTATACTGTTCTACGTTCTTAAACAATAGGAGGAGGTGAAGCCCAGAAAGACTGGTGGACAGACAACGGACTGGGACAAAAGGAATTTGAAAACCCCAGCACTCCATGAGGGACTTCTGCAGAGTACTCCAGTTTTCAATACACTAGTATATCCAGTAGTTTACAGGTGCTCTCTTCTCAGTATCCAGGATTTTCTGAGCTTCTTCATGGATCCAGTGAGCCAAACAGCCAGGGCAATGGGATTTGCTACAATGACAGGATTCCCACAGGTTGCACACAGATTGCAAATATACTGCCATAAGAGCTTCTGGGATCAATCAGCTGTCTTCATCATTAGAATGAGTTTTTCACCCAATTAATGTGTAATTGGGTTTTGACCATTACCTTCCTCAACCTCATTCAACAAAGAAGGTATGATTTTGCAGCAGAAGATAAATGGAACTGAAATGTCTCCTTTAATCAGGAAGGGAAAGGCAACAGTGGTGACAGTGACCAAGATGTACAGAATGGACAAAAAGAAGCCAGGGTAGTAGTTAGATAAGGTAGAAGACTGTGTTAGAACAATCAGATTCTAGGCTGAGTGAGTTACCTGCTGGTTGTTTGCGATATGGGTCACACATCATTGAGTTATTTAAGTTAGATAGGGTTTTGTTTCCTTAAATAAAATGCCCTGCTTTAATTCAGCTCTGCTTGAGGCGGCACGGTGGCTCAGTGGTTAGCACTGCTGCCTCACAGTGCCAGGGACCCAGGTTCAATTCCACCCTCGGGGGACTTTCTGTGTAGAGTTTGCACATTCTGCCCGTGTCTGCCTAGGTTCTCTCCGGGTGCTGCGGTTTCCTCCCACAGTCCAAAGATGTGCAGACTAGGTGGAATTGGCCATGCTAAATTGCCCATAGTGTTCAGGCATGTGTAGATTAGGTGGGTTATAGGGGGATGGGTCTGGGTGGGATCCTCTGAGGGTCGGTGTGGACTTGTTGGGCCAAAGGGCCTGTTTTCACACTGTAGGGATTCTATGATTCTATGATCTAACGGTGTTCCTTCAATCATAAGGTCAGAAATGGGAACATTTGCTGGTGATGCACATTGTTCAGTACAATTCACCACTCCTTATACAATGAAATGGTCTGGTCCACGTGCGGCAAGTTCTGAACAATATGCAGGTTTAGGCTGATAAGTGGCAAGTAATATTTGTGCCACACAAGAGCCAGGTAATGACCATGTCTAACATGAGAGAATCATACCATCTCACCTTGACATTCAACGGTATTATCATTTCTGAATTCCCTGTTATCAACATCCTTGGGGGGTTAACATAAAGCAGGATAATGGTAGCATAGTGGAAATATCACCAGATTAGTCATCCAGCGGTTTAAGGTAATGCTGTGGGAGATGGATTCAAACCCCATTGTAGCAGCCACGAGAATACAAATTCAATCAAAATTTCTAAGATTAAAAGTAATGTTGTTAAATATCAATCATTAACAATTCATTAATGTCTTTAGGGAGGAATACTACCAACTTTTCCCTGTCTGACATATGGGTGATTCCAGATTCACAGCAATGCAGGCAACTCAACTGCCCCCTTGGTTAAGGGCAATTAGGGATTGCTAACAAATGTTGGCATTGGCAGCGACATCCTCATCCCATGAAAAAATAAAGAAAAAAAAAGGAGCTGAACACTGTTACCCCTATACAAGAACAGGTCTGCAGCTAGGACTTTGACAGCGAGTAACTCATTTCTTGTCTCCCCCAAAGCTTGTTCTGCATCTACAAGTCACAAGGTAGGAATGTGATGGAAAACTGCTCAGTTGTCTGGATGGGTGCTGCTCCAACAATACTCAAAAAGCTTGACACCATCCAGGGCAAAGCAGCCTGCTTGACTGGCATCCCATCCATTAGTTCTGTGCTATGGCAACAGCGTGTACCATCTACAACACATCTTTTGTCCTTCAACAGCACATTCCAATTAGGCCTCTACCATCTAGAAGGTAAAAAAAAAGCAGAACAGGCATGGAAACACGGCCACCTGCAGGATCCCCCCCAAAGTCATACATCATCCTGACTTGGTACTATATCGCTTCAGTCTCCCTGAGCCAATATCCTGGAACACCCTTCCCAACAGCACTACGGGTGTACCTACATGCCAAAGACTCCAGCGGTTCAAGAAGGCAGCTCATTACCACCTGTCCAAGGATGGACAACACAAAAAAGCCCAAATCCCATGAATGGGTATAAAAATAAACAAAATGAGTTAATACTTTCAATAAACAGTGGGCAAGATAATTTAACAGGAATTAGATCATTTAATTATCACTAACATAGTGAAATGTGATATAAATGTTTTCTATCTCTTTCATTCAGATCATTGCTTAACAATAATATTTGCAACTGCATGAGGAGAGGGAGAAAAGCTTATCACGAACATGCAAATATTTTCCCTCTGCAAGACACCAATTCCCAGCTAATATAAGGATCAATAATCACCAAACAGGCTAACTAACAAGCAGAATATCAAACCCAATTCTAGATGACCAATTTCATACTGTAGTTTCTGCCCCTAGTTTATTTCCTTCTCTTCTCAAGCTTTGGTTTTCTGTTTTCTCCCCTTTCAGAAGGCAGCTGTTCATCAATCTGCCATTGTCACCTTCTAAAGATGATCCTCTTTGCTCACCTCATTTGCATTCCACTTGCTTCCTGCACCACCAACCTATGTCATTTAGTCTCTCCCATCTTCCAGCCTACTCTTCCTTTTTGTTCTATCCCTTTTCACTTGCTTAAAATTCAGTAAATTTCTAATTTTTGCCCGTTCTGATAAATGGTGGTTGACCTGAAATTCTAATTGTTTCTTTCTGCGTAAATGCTGACTGACTGATGAAGCATTTCTATCATTTTCTATTTTATTTCAGACTTACAACATTTTGTCTAAAATGACTTCAATTGTACAACTTGTATTTTTATGAAAATTTTTATATTTGTATTATTTCTTTAAACTGATATTTTGATTTGAATTAAGATCTACTTAGGTACTTATCTCAAATGCCACAAAGAAGACCAAATTTTGTTCCTTTAAGTTAACCTTTCAACATAACAGTACAGCAAGAAAACTGTTTCAATAGCCTAGATCTTACCTATCTCAACAGGAAGAGGGAAGGGGAATAGAGAGGGAGATAACCACTTACTCTTATACCCTGCTGCTCCACATGACTGATCAAGCTTCAGATGTTAAATTATCAGTCATCAGGCAAGAAAGTACCCAATCATAGGTGCATTAGAAGTCTATTTCTGCCCAGAAACCTTTCCCCTGCTTTCTTCCAACCTTGCATTTATTATGACAGTCTGCTTTTAGATGCCGCAATATAGTCAGCTCTTGTGGCTATTCATAAATCTAACTATAAAATACTGTTGAATTTTCTTCCCAACTACATTCATATTGGACCAGAATCACACCTTGGTCTGAACACATAGCTTGTGGATTCTGAGAATCAGTTCCGTAAACCAGGACATTTTGCAGCAAAGCAACAATATCGCAGTTGCTTCTAGAACAGAGACTCCCTGCTCTCAGAATCAGCCTTTATTATTCATCAAATAGGTGGATTGGCTATGCTAAATTGCCCATAGTGTCTAGGGTGGGAAATGCAGAGATAGGGTAAGGGATGTGTCTGGGTGGAATGCTCTTCGGAGGGTCGGTGTGGACTCGATCGACCAAATGGCCTGCTTCCACACTGTAGGGATTCTATGTTCTAAATGCACAAAAAATGTCATTAAGTATCATTAAGACACTGTCACCTTCCCCAGCAAAACCTGCTGAAACACTCAAACATGCTGCTGGTGGCAGGGTCTTTCTACTATCACTCTGTCGCCTCGATTTAGCTGGAATTAAAAGAAGTGAAAAATTCTTTGAAGTTCAATGCCTGAAAATTGCTGCAGGCAATGAAAAATTGCAGACAGCTGGGCTGTTAACAAGCTGAGTAGATTGTCAATGATGTCAAATGAGCATTTTGATTTCAGGCCCACATGCCTTCTACCTTAAAGATGACTGGTGTGATCGGTTACAGATCTGAGGTCATTACACAGCACCTTACGTCAGCACAAGGCGCAGCAGAAAGTCTAATTTAAGGATGTAAAATCTAGTAAAGCCACTCTCATTTAAGGACAAAACTATAGATTCATTGATGGTCCACTGAACAATTAGGGGTGGCACAGTGGCTCAGTGGTTAGCACTGCTACTTCACACGCCAGGGACTCAGGTTTGATTCCACCCTCAGGCAGACTATCTGCATGGAGATTGCACATTCTCCCTGTGTCTGCGTGGGTTTTCTCCAGGTGCTTTGGTTTCCTCCTACAGTCCAAAAATATGCAGGTTACATGGATTAGCTATGTTATATTGCCCATAGTGTCCAGGGAAGTGCAGGCTAGGTGGATTAGCCATGGGAAATTCAGGGTTACTGGGATGGGTAGGGTCTGGGTGGGATGCTCTTTGGACGGTTAGTGTGGGCTTGATAGTCTAAATGGCCTGCTTCTACACTATAGGGATTCTATGACTAGCCACAAAAAAAAAGCACTCTGTGGCTATGTAAGAACTATTCTTATGAGGGCATTTTGTGGAATCACCCTCTGAAAGAATTAAATTACCTGTTCTCTAAAAGTATAGTTTTGAAGAAACAAACTGCCTTGGACTTTCTGCTAGCCATGAGTGGGATTACAGCACATGTTCTTTTTACTGCACAATAATACAGCACAATTTTTGCTAGATTTCTTTCTAATATTAATTTTGGGAAAAAAGTAGGTAAAAATTTAAATCTTACTAGCAACTAGAACTAGCATTTTCCAAAAGGGTATGGGTCACTCATTGTTATAGTAAAAGAAAATAAAAATAGAAAAATATTTTGGAAAGGCTACAAAGTACATAGGAGAGGCACAAGGCCTGAGCCACAGACCCTGCCAGGCTCATGACTGAGTAGAAAGGGAGGTATGGAAGATACTTGATTGCATGGGTTATTCTGCAGTTCTCATTTATGGTGTAAATACTAGAGGATTTGGGCCATTTTTTGTGTAGAAGGGAAGGAGGAACATCAGACAGATGTGCAGAAGCCCACATGCCCTGAACAATTAAAATAAAATGCCGAAATGGGAAGAATGGAGGGGATTGGGTCAGGTGAAGGAAAAGTTTACATAAAGACAATAAGTGTGGGAAAGGATGAGACAAAGAATTTAATGATAAGAGTGCATCAATAAGAAAAGTTCATGCAAAACAAAGTGGATTAAAAAACAATTAAGACTGTTTTAAACAATAACAGGAATTGCTGGAGAAACTCTGCAGTCTGGCAGTAAACTAGGCAGCAACAAAAAATTTGTTGTAAGAGCTGCAATAAGTATATGAAAAAGATTAACTTAACTGAAGTTGATCCCAGAGGCAGACAGATGAGAAATTGTCATGGGGATTGAAGAAAAGGCAGAAATACTGAAAAAATATTTTGTGCCTGTCTTCAAAGTAAATTCCAACTAGAAATGGAGAGTGTAGAGTGAAGAAGCAGGCCATTCTACCCACCATGTCCTTTCCAGCCGACAAGAATTCAAGCCATCAATTTCACTTTTCAGCCCTTGTTCTGGAGCTTTGAAGGCAATGACATTTCAAATGCGCATCCAAAATTTAAAAGAAAAAACTTATGAGAGTTTCTGCCTTTACCTGCCTTTCAGGCAGCGAGTTCCAGATCCCCAAAACCCTCTGGTGAGAGAAATACCCTTAAATCTGCCCTAAACAACCTACTTCTTATTCTTGGCGATAGTAGGAACTGCAGATGCTGGAGAATCCGAGACAACACTCTACTTCTTATTCTTAACCTTGTTCCCTAGTAATGGACTGCTCAACCAAGAAGGATAGGGACTTCCTATCCACTCTATCCAAGCTCATCACTTTAAATATTTTAAACTCTTCAACCTATTCTGTTCTAAAGGAAAAAAACAGTAGATGTGTTGTATCTGGACTTCTAGAAAGTATTCAACAAGGTAACTCACAAAAGGTTAAGCCATAAAATAAGAGCTCATGGTGTTGGAGGTAGTATACCGGCATGGATAGGTAACATGGCAGGTACCAGCAAGTAGGGATATGGCATTCTTTTTCAGTTTGGCAACCTGTGACCATTGGGGCTCCACAGGGATCAATGCTATGACCACAACTGTTTACAATATAAATGACTTGGAGGAAAGATTGGAAATATACTGTAGCCAAAATTTCAGACAACACAAAAATAGGTGGAAAGGCAAATTATGCGAGGGGTACAAATACTTTACAGAGTGAAACTGATAGCTAAAGTAAATGGGAACAAAGTTGGCAATGGAGTTTAATGCAGTAAGACTTACTACTCTTACACTCCAACACCTTTGAAATAAGGTCCAATGTTCCATTAGATTTCCTAATTACCTGCTGTACCTGGCTGCTAGCTTTCCATGTCTCATGCACAGGTACCCCCAAATCCCTTTGTGTTGCAGCTTTTTGCAGTTTTTTTTTCTCTATTTGAACTCCTCCACCCTAGGGAAAAGACCCTTGCTATTCACCTTATCTATGCCCCTCATCATTTTATAAACTTCTATAAGGTCACCCCTCAATCTCGTCCGCTCCAGTGGAAGAAATCCCAGCCTATCCAGTCTCTCCTCATAACTCAAATCCTCCAGTCCTGGTAACATCCTTGTAAGTCTCTTATGCACCTTTTCCAGTTTACTAACTTCCTCCCAATAGCAGGGTGACTAGAACTGTTCACAGTATTCCATAAGTGGCTTCACCAATGTCCTGTACAACCGCAACATGACGTCCCAATTCCTATACTCAACGGTCTGAGCAATGAAGGCAAGTGTGCTAAACACCTTCTTTACCACCATGTCTACCTGTGACATAACGTTTAAAGGACTACGTACCTGAACCCCTAGGTCTCTCTGTTCGACAACACTCCCCGGGGCCCTACCATCAACTGTGTAAGTCCTGCCCTTATTGTTTGATAAATTTATTTATTTTTGAGAACGTAATTGATCGGATGGATAAATGGGAACCTGTAGATGTAGTACAACTGGATTTCCAAAAGGATCCTGATAAACAGCCAGAAAACAGGTTGATTTGCAAGATGAAGGTTTATTAGTGGGGAGTAACATATCAGCATAGATTGAGGGTTAGGTCGTGGGCAGGAAACAGGGAGTAGAGATAACGGGGGCACTTGCAAGTTAGGAGGCTGTAATTGGACTGCTGCAAAGATCAGTTCAGGGACCTTTGTTGTTAAAATCTATACAATAAGAAACAAAGAATAGCATATCCAAATTTGCTGACCATGCAAGGCCATATTGGAATGTAACCCATGAGATGACAGAAAGGTGTTACAAAAGATAGAGGTAGACCAAGTGAATGGGCAACAGGATGGCAAATGGAGCATAATGGGAGCAAGGATATGGTTATTTACTTTGGTTGTGTGAATAGAAAAGGAGAATATACATTTTAGCAGGTATTAAACTTTTACACGTTTGTCTAAAGAACCTTAGATGTCTTCATATTGAAATAAATAATGTTAGCATGCAGGTACAATATTTCTGTATTGCAATGGGATTGGACTTTGAAAATAAGAAAGTAATGCTACTATTGCTTTGGTGAGGTGACACCTGACCTGCATATTTAAGGAGAGGTATACAGCCTTAGAGACAGGATAGCAAAGGTTCACTAGAATGGATGACAGAACTGTCCTATAATGACAGGCTGAGTAAATAAAGCTTTCACTGTCTGCAGTTTACATGAATGAGAAGCAATTTCATTGAAACATGCACCGTTCTGGCGAGGTTTAACAGGGTAGACACTGACATGTTATTTACCTTGGGTGCGGAATATAGAACAAAGGAAGCACAATTTCAGGATAAGGGGCTAATCATTCAGGACTGCAATGTGATGAAATGTTTTTATTCAGAGATTGTGGATCTTTAAAATTTCCCAACCCAGAGAGTTGTGGACGCTACCTAGTTGAATATAACCAAAGGTAAGGTCGATAAATTTTTTTTCCTGATCTTTCAAGAATATGTAGAGTGGGTGGGAAAGTTGAGTTTAGGCAAGAGATCAGTTACAATGGCATAGGAAGGCAAAGCAAGCTTGAGGTTTACTGATGTTTCTATTTCTTATGTAGCGTCAGGTAGTCCAAGAACACCAACCAGCTTCCTCTGGACTGGACTATTAGGATTTTCAACCTTCTGCTAACAGCTGCACATTCAATCTTTTAAAACTTGTAAACAGTGTAATAAATCCAAAATGCATGATTTCACTGATATCAAAATTTAGGACCTTACCAATAACAGTTAACTTTGCTGATGTAATGGCATCTCTTGAAGCAAAAGTTATTTCTCCAGAATGATTTAATTGGGCATTTTTTAGAGTAAGTTTGTGTGTGTTCCCCTCTGCCTTTAGTTCCCAATGTTCATCGGATTGGATATCAGTTTCATTCAGATACCAGGTCACTTCAGTAGTAGGGACCACTTCACTCAATATACATTCAAATTCAGCATCATTGCTTTGAACCACTTCAGTATTGCTTAAAGTCTTCAAAATGTTAACGTGCCATCCTACATAAAAGACAAATATAAATATGAAAAATGCAAAGTAACATCCTTTACAGCTGTAGTGACAAGTATCAAGTCAGTTTGAATGCAAGTAAAGTTACGTTAGTTTAATCAATTACAAGAAAACAATGCTTATGGTTAAACATTTTCCATTATGTGGGCAACTGCAATTAGAATTTTTTCTCCTCTATTATTATAATAATTGAGGATCAATTAACTGTAGAGGACTAGTTTCCTCTTGATTACCTGCAGAACATTTTACAACATGGAAGTCACTAATATTCTTTTACCTTTAACAGTCAGGTAGGCTGATGACATGGCATTTCCAGCTACAAAGGTCACACGACAGCTGTCTGAGGGGGTTAAATTCTTCAAAAGCAACAGGTGTCGTTTCCCAGCTTCAAGGATTGCTATTTCTACATTTTCAGACTGTGAAATGGCAATGTCATCCATTAGCCACTTGTAATCATGTAATTCTGGTCTGGATAAGCGGCATTCAAACAAAGCTTCACCGCCCTCTGATGTATCTACATTTTCCATCCCTTGTAGAATATCAGGTTGCTTTGCTGATTAAAGAAAATAAAAATACCACAGTGATTCTCATTATCACAATGCAATATTTTTTGGATCAATCTTGTATTCCTTAAAATGAGGGATAATCAAGTTTGAAAACGGAACATAGAACCATTTCAGATACCAAGTGTTAAAGGACTCCCAGGGTAAGCATGGCATGATTAAGTGCAGAATAAAAAATCCTCTAGTCTCACTAACATTGTGCATTACTTTCTACTTAAATATTGCTACTGCATAAGTATGACATTTCCTACTTCATGCATCAGCCATCTTAATAATTTCTGTGACTGGCATTTCAAATCTGTGCTGCATTAGCTGTGACCCAAAGGTAAGGGTAAAATAGGACCTTGCAATTTACTTTAAAAGGCTTTGCACTATAACTGAATGCTTAAATATAAATCTGGGATTGAATATTACATGTAAATCATTGAATATGTTAAATTATAAAAGCAACAAAAATGCAGAAAAAATTTTGAGTCATATGTTTAATGAATAGTGTACCAGTATGTATAGAATGGACAGAGGTTCATCTTGGTTGGTGGCACAAAGTGTGTGACACAGGATCAGCTGCCATACTGCTAGCATCCAATGTCGGTTCCATTGCACTCCATGGAATTAAATATCAGGATTAAGTAGTTAGCCTGATATTACCTGTTTTGCATCACAGTCCAAGAATAATTTGCTGGAATTGCTGGATGATTATAGATTCAGTAATTCAAGCAATGAGTAATCATAGCAAATTTTCAGTTCTAATGTCTCTGCTGAGATTATGAAGAAAGACAAAGAAAAGTCAGAATATCTGGGTGGGAAAGAAAATATATGGAAATGCCTTATTCTACTTTGAACAAGAACAGGCAGGGAAATGCTGCTATAAAGAGCAGGGGAGGTAGTCTGAAATGTATGTGTTTCAAAGCGAGAAGTATAACAGGCAAGGTAGATGAATGCAGAGCTTTGGTTAGTACTTTGAACTATGACATTATTGCTACTATGGACACTTGGCTGAAAGAAGGACAGGACTGCCAGCTGAATGTCCCAGGATTTGGATGTTTCAGGTGTGATAGAAGGGGATGTTAAAGGGATGGGGGAGTTGCATTACGGGTAAAGAAGTATCTCACAGCTGTACTGAGGGAGGATACAGTAGAGGACTCATGCAGCAAGGCAAAATGGGTAGGACTCAGGAATAGGAAAGGAGAAATCACAAAGCTGGGGAGGTATACTACAGGCCTCCCAACAGCCAGAGGGAGACAGAGGAGAAAATATATTGACAAATTTTGGAAAGATGTAACAACAGCAGGGTTGTAGTGGCGGGTGACATTAACTTCCCCTATATTGACTGGGACTCAACTTGTGCTACGGTCTTGGATGGGGCAGAATTTGTGAGGACCATTCAGGAAGGTTTTTTGACATAGTATGTAAACAGTCCAACCAGGGAAGGGATTATACTGGACCTGGTTTGGGAAATGAGTCAGGCCAGGTGAGAAGTTTCAGTGGGGGAGCATTTCGGGACTAGTGACCATAATACCTTGAGTTTTAAGATACTCATGGATAGGGATAACAGCATTCCTCAAGTGAACATGTTAAATTGGGGGAAGGCGAACTACAACAATATTAGGCAGGAACTGGAGAATGATGACTGGGGGCAGCTGTTTCAGTGTAAATCTACAGTGGGCATGTGGGAGTATTTCAAATGGCAGATGATAAGAGTTCAGGAGTAGCACATTCCTGCAAGAATGAAGGATAGATATGAAAAGTTACGTGAATGTTGGACGACCAGGGATGTTATGAGACAACAAGGTGCAGGGCTGGATGAACACAGCAGGCCAAGCAGCATCATAGGAGCAGAGAGGCTGACGTTTCGGGCCTAGACCCTTCATCAGAAAAGGGGGAGGGGAAGGGGGTTTTGAAATAAATAGGGAGAGAGTGGGAGGCGGATAGAAGAGGGATAGAGGAGAGGATAGGTGGAGAGGAAACAAACAGGTCGAAGAGGCGGGGATGGAGCCAGGAAAGGTGAGTGTAGGTAGGGAGTTAGGAAGGTCTAGGCCCGAAACGTCAGCCTCTCTGCTCCTATGATGCTGCTTGGCCTGCTGTGTTCATCCAGCCCTGCACCTTGTTGTATCAGGGATGTTATGACCTTGGTCAAAAAGAGAAAGGAAGCATACATAAGGTTTAGGAAGATGCGAACTAACGAAGCCCTTGAAGTATATGTGGAAAGTAGGAAAGGACTTAAACAAGGAATTTGAAGGACTAAAAGGGTTCATGAAAAGTCATTAGCAAACAGGAATAAGGAGAATCCCAAGGCAAGGGGGTAGCCAAGGAAAGGGTTGGCCCACTCGAGGTCAAAGGCGGGAAGTTAAGTGTGCAACCACAAGAGGTAGGTGAGGTCTTAAACAAATGCTTTGTGTCAATATTCACCAAGGAGAAGGAATTGGTGGAGGATGATCTCAGGGAAGGGATCGTCAAATATATAAGCCAAATTGCTATTAAAAAGGCTCAGGTGTTGTGCATGTTAAAAAGTATTGAGGTAGATACGTCCCCAGGTCCTGATGGGATCTTCCCAGAATGTTCAGGGAGGCAAGAGAAAAAAATTGCTGGAGCATTGACAGACATCTTCATATCCTCTTTGGACACAGGTGAGGTCTCAGAGGACTGCAGAATAGCCAATATCGTTCCATTGTTTAAGGGTAACAGGGATAATCCTGGAAATTACAGGCCTGTGAGCCTCAAGTTGGTGGTAGGGAAATTATTGGCACATTTCTTATTCATGTACTTATCCAAATGTCTTTTAAATGTTGTAACTTTACCTGCATCCACCACTTCCTCCGGCAGTTCATTCCACATACGGCCCACTCTCTGTGTAAAAAGGTTGCTCATGTTCTTCTTAAAACTTTCTCCTCTCATTTTAAAAATATGCCCCCTAGTTTTCAACTCCCCTGTCCTAGGGAAAATCGTTGGCAGTGAGTTCAAAAACCAGGAGTCATAGATTCAAGTTAAGTGGCAGAAGTATTAGAGGGGACGTGAGGAAAACCTTTCTGCACAGACGGTGATGAATGTCTGGAATTTGCTGCTTGGTTTGGTGGTGCAAGCAGATACCCTAAAGTCTTTCAAAAAATACCTGGATCTGCGCCTTAAGCCCTTTAGGCTGCATGGGTATAGGCCATGTGCAGGAAGATAGCATTAGAAAAGGCATCTCAGTGTCTTTGGGTCAGCATCATCTATATGGGCTGAGTGGCCCCCTTCTGTGGGCCATTCTATGGTTCCAAATGATACCCTAGCCGGTGATGTCCGCATCCTATGAATTTTCTTTTTTAGAAACCATACAGGATGAAATACACAATCTGTCAAAAGAAGGGTTTTACTTAAAGGATGCACAGAAACCACAGAAAAGTTATGGCTGAAAAAAAGGTCATTCGTTCCATCCTGTCTGTGCTGGCAGAAAAGGAGAACAAAAACTAGCCTCTCATTCTGATCTCATCTTCCAGCACCTGCAGTCTTGCAGGTTACAGACTTGTGTTTTCAGATGCAAATCCAGGAACCTTTTAAACGAGTTGAGGGTTTTTGTCTTTGGTAATCTGTGCATGATCAGGAAGGATATCACATCCGGAGTGAGACACAACCCAAATGTATATATAGTTCAGGGAATTTACAGGCAGCATGGGAATTCATTGCAGAGGGGAAGAGGTGCTTTTTGCTTGTTTTCTTGGTTCATAATTTGTAAAGCGTTTTTACAGGATAAATTGATGCCAGGGATCAGGGGCCCAGCACAAAAGAGACAGTGACATCACAGTTCACTGATTGTTAATAGCTACTTATTTGACTATTTATTATAGGTCACTTTCAGATTGAAGGTAAATGGGTGAAATATTTGCAGGTTACAAACTAAGAGACCAGTGGGAAATTTTTAAGACAAATTAAAAACTATGTAAACAAGCTGAGATGCAGGGCCAGGTAATGTGTGGTACCTGAATAATATGGGAGCTGATGGACCCCACTGTAGTTCATGGTGACCACATCTGTAGCAAGTGTTGGTTTCTGGAGGTACTCTGGCTCAGAGTTGATGAGCTGGAGCCTGAGCTTTGAATACTGCAACACATCAGGAAGGGGGAGAGTCACCTCGATGCTGTGTTTCAGGAGGCAATTACACCCCTTAGATTAACTACCTTGAACTCAAGACAGTAGTCAGGTGCAGGAGGGTGTGACAATGAGCAAGGCAGGTAGAGAGATTTAGGAGGTAGTTCTGAAGGAGCCTCAGTCCTTGAGCTTGTCTAATCGGTTTGAGATTCTTGTTCTCTGTGTAGATGGAAGTAGGGGCTACAGACAGAATGAGCAAACTGACATTAATGGGACAGCAACCCATTCAAGAGGTGGGGAGGAAAGACAAATGTAATTGTAATTAGGGTTAGTGTAATCAGAGGAATAGACTCTTCTCTGTGGCCAGGACCGAGAATCCCAGAGGCTGTGTTGCCTGTCTGGTGGATGGGTTCAGGGTATCTCATCTGGGCTGCAGAGAAACTTAGAGTGGGAGGGTAAAGATCCAGTTGCCGTGATGCACATAGGTACCAATGACATAGGCAGAAAGAGGGAAGAAGTTCTGCTGAAGGAATATGAGAAGCGAGAGGCTAAATTAAAAAGCAGAACTATAAAGGTAATAATCTCTGAATTACTACCCGAGCTAATTAGCACAAGGTCAACAAGATTAAAGAGCTAAAACCAAAACTTCAAGACAGTCAAAGGGCAGAGCTGAGTACCATAGCCATCATTAAGGAGTAGGTGCTGGGGAAGTTGAAATGCCTGAAGGTGGATAAATTACTCAGACCAGGTACAGTGCACCCCAGGGTTCTGAAGGAGAAAGCTGAGGGGATTGTGGAGGCTTTGCTGGTGATCTTTCAGAAATTCTTGGAGCATAGGGAGGGTCCCAGAGGATTGGAAACTGACTAATGTAAAACCATTGCTTAAAAAGGGTGGGAGGCAGAAGCTAGTAAATTATAGACTAGTT